TAATTAACAGCTCCCTGTAGGGAGGGACAATTCCTAGGACAGGTTACCTTAGCAACAGGTTGGAGCAGGGGCAGGTTATTTTGATAAGGGTGAAGGAAGGGCTCTGAGGACATTAGCAGCCTGTCTATTAATTCTGGCTTCAATTGGTTGCCTGCTTTCATAGGTGCTACAAAGAATTTTTTTTGAATGAATGAACAGAAAAATTCATTATTTTAGCCTCAATAGATATTTTTTTATATGTATTTTAAATTCAGTGGACATGTTATTCCAATACCTGTAGGGAAATCTCATCCTAAAAAGCTAATTGTTTTTAAAAATAAACTATTGGGAGAAATAGTACATTTTCAAAGATGGACCATCTACAAAAATAGAGAATTTCTTAGTCTGTAATTCTTTTTCAAGTTTATACAAATTTAGAAGAGACACAAAAATTCTTAGGTCTTTAGCAGTGCAAATGTGACTGGGGCTATCTCTTTATGAGGTCCTTAACCCCTGCAAAACAGGACTCCAAGTCAAAGTGACCTTCTAACAAAAGCCACAAGAAACTTGAAGCATGTATTGTTTTTCTGAGATACTGTATTTGTCTTTAAGAAAAAGACAGTGATTTTCTATAGTTCATGAGATTTGCTGGCTCATAAGTGCAACAAGCACTGATAAAATTTTAAAGGCTTCTGAGCTTTTGTTTAAATGAGTAACTTCTATCAATCAAACAACAAATATTTATTGAGTATGTAATAAGTACATGTAGTGTTTTACAAAGAGGTGTCAGTTCAAGACTTGCCCTCTAGAAATTCTTAATGTGGTGCAAGCTAATGGCAATGCAGTGATAATTGGGGACCGTACACAGGAAGCAGAGAAAACAACAGGGGCTTAAAGATTTAGGGAATGAGTTCCTGCCTGTGCTCAGCCACACAGGAAACTAGGGCAAGGAAATAGGAAAAGAGAGTACCAAGAGAACCTAGGAAAGAAGAGGCAGGTTGGTTTTTTAAAATAGTCACTTCTATGCAGTGTGGTGCAGGAGCACAAGGAGGTCTCACTCATCCCCGTGCAGGCCACCCAGGCAAGGCTCACCCATAGCCTGTGATCCCCAAAGACACACAGGCTGCCAATAGGTTGCCTCTTGTCCACCTCCCTGGTTCTGGGAGGCACAGCACTTTCTATCTCTACAACACCCCCAGCCACACCTTGGGTAGGGATACAAATCATAAAACTTCCTGTGTTTAGAGTTGGTTCTTAACTCCATAACACAGTGAACTACCACTTATTCAGATCTTCTGCCATCTGGCCCCACTGTCTTATCTTCTTGTGGGATTAGGACTGTGAAAAGATCTTGCTTATGCTGCTGTGTGAGCAATAAACTTCCAAAGCAGCAGTTGCCACAGCTCAGGGACAGCTGATGAAGAGCACAGACAGGTCAGCGAGGGGTGATAAGAAGTAGCCCAAGCATTGAAAGGTGAACTGGCTTCTTGTAAGTGGCTGGAAGAAGCAAAGCAAAGCCATCAGGAAAAAAAGCTACAGTACCACAAGCTGGTGTTCTGTTACCTGTCATCTATAAGGACATAAATCAGAAGTGACTTGTCCTAAGGCAAAACAGACCTAGGTTTGAATTAAAGAAGATACTAACTACTGGCTAGAATGGGAAGTTATCATTTGTCATTCAAATTGTGCTCAACAACTTTCTTTGCATTTTTCTATTTATCGCTGTTCATGACTTCCCTCCAAACACACACAAGCATGCAGGGCTAGAAGAAACCATGACTACTGTGTCATAATGAAGGAGAACACTTTAAAGGGTCATTTATAAAGCTGCAGAGCACTGATATGTGTACTTTAGTATCTGCTACTGCAAACACACTGTAAACAAGATAGGGATTATTTTGTAACATGATAAATAATTTTAATGAAATCATAGAATAGTAGCCTGTATGATTAGTCTTCTGGAGAAATCTCATCTTTAAACAAGAAAGACTTTGCATAAGTAGATCTTTAAGGAAGTTTTTCTCATAATTTTTATAGGGACTCTTAACACATTCATTGATCATACATCTTTATTTTAAGCTTTAAGACACTCAAGAGGAATTGGCATGATTTTGTATAATTTTATATATGTTGTATGTTATTTTATTGTGTATATATAATACTTGGCATTGGGAGAGGAATGGTAAGTTAAACTTTTCTTATAATTGAGGTCTTTTGGTACTCAGAAATGCTTCTAGGTTCAAAGTTAGGCAGCAACTCTCTTTAATATGTTTTCAGAAATCTTTAGGACAGTTCATGCTGTGTAATTGTAGGATTAGTGCTGGGCACTAGTGCCAGCTCCATCTTGGGTAACTGCAGAAGGTACTTACCTGCTGTTCTTCTCTCCTGTAACTGTGTGTAACTCTAAGAGGGGCTGTGACAGAAGATGAGATGAACACACAAAGTACATCGCACGTGTGATGTGCTGTAATGATTAAAATGCTGTTATGTCTTTTGTTAAAATAGCAAATGCAGCTTTATCTGATGTAAGTAAAACTATCTTTTGGTCATCTTCATTTTAATATTTTTGTTTTTTACTTTCCTTTGGGAAAAAATGAGAACAGTGAGTATTGGGTGGTGATGAGCAGAAAAGGGACCATGAATATAAAGCTCTACGCAGCATCACAGTGGCTTGTCAACAATGAAATATTGTATGTGGGTTTCTTGTGCCTTTGTAGGAATTGATTGTTTTAAAATATGTTCCAATTGCCAAAATTTCCATGACTTATGACAGCTTGAATACTTGATATTTTATCCCAGAAAACAAATGAAAGTCTCTCTCTTTTTTTTTAAAGTGCCATAGTATTCTTGTCCTAAACTTGAAACATTAAGAGATGTGACTTTTTAATATTTGAATCTTTAAAGGCATCTGGCCCTTATTTAACCATCGCATTTACATCCAATTCCTGTAGGCCTGGTTTTGTTGTTTAAGCTTGGCTTGATGCCCTCTGCAGAAAGCCTTTGCCTTAATGAACACAACTCCACTGAAACCGCTTGTGTCCTCTGCTCCTTCCTACTCCCACCACTGTACAACAGCACAAGAAATATTCATCTTGGATTTCAACTAAGAAGACAGAATAAGAAAATACATTGCTGGAGAATTAACTTTATAAGGGGACACTGCTATGATATACTCAACGATTTGCCCTTAGATTATTTGCAGAAGTGTTTATATACTATGAATGTTCAGCTGGAGCATACAGGAAACTGTAAAATATTTTATGAGATGTATACATGGTTGATGGTAGAATTTTAAATGCGACCTGGGAAGGTTCTATCTAAATTCCAGAAGGGCAGATGAGAGAATACATTCTCTATAATGATTTAGTTTTATATAAGGAGTTACAGGAACTGGAAAGCAATGCCTGATTTGGGAACTATGTTTAAAAAAATTCATATAATTAAACTTTATAATTTTTAGACAGTAAACTTGTTTCCTTTCAGACCAAGAATCACTACTGTGTTTATTTACCTTCTATGTGGTAAAAGCATTAAATGTGGGTTGTTTATTATTTCATAAAAACAAAGGACAGATGGTAATAAATGAAGAGTTCTCCCTAGATTCAGAAACTATATACACCATTTTTTAAAAGTGTGCTTCTGATGGTTTTCAAATAAAAACCCTCAGTCCTAAAACTGGAATATTATTTTTGAATCTCAACTATTACAAGATGTGAAGACAAGAAGGTTAATGACATAACCTCCAAGTGCTATGTTCAGAAAGTCATGCTTCCAAATTTAGGTGAAGGGAGAAGTATTTCTCTTTCCTTTACCCTTAATCTAGGGGGTAAATCTAGAAGAGAGGTTATTCATTATTCGTTGGTTTGTTTTCACACTGAAGTTCTAAAACACAAGGGACAAAAAACAAACTAGGGGTGTACAGTCACTGACTTAGAGTTGAGCCTGATGTTTAAGAACACAGGTCAGTCAGTTAATGCCAAAGTCCCTCTGAAGAAGATTTTAACACATAGCACTTATGCTTTAGGAATGTCCATAGTTAGTATTATTTTAAAAATAAATTTACATTGGGATAAATATGTTCCAATTTACTGGGATAAATATACTATAAAACTCCAATGAGTCTTGGTAATATTCTAATGCAAATCCAATATAATGGAATATAATATTAGGTTAAAAGCAAGGGACCATGGGTTCTAATCTCTGTCACTGCCATTATTGAGTGATTTAGGGAAAGTCACTTCCCTCTCTAGGAATTTTTTTTTTTTAATCTGAAAAATGAAGGTCTGACCTCAACTATCTTTAAGATTCTGCTCTGTTATCTAAGAGATTCTGCTCTGTTATTTTAATCTTAAACTTAATCTTAAACCAAATTTTCTGAAACTTTCATTCTGTAAATTTTCTTTTATTTCTATACTCACTACTTAAGGAATTTTATTTCACTTCAAATTTAGTTTTATAGAGTGTAAGAAAAGAACCTAAGTGTAGAAAAGAAAAAAAAGAATTAAAAATATAAATATTGAGCAATTATGGGGACATCTAGGCTGGTTCAGGACAGACATAAATGACCTTGTTTTATTCTAAATTCAGCTCTCTGGCTTATGATGAAAAGTGAAAGGTTATTATATGAACTTACTGGGCAAAACCAGATTTTATAAATAATTACCTGTCAGACTGTTCAAGATAGACAAACATACACCAGACCAACAAAAACACAGACCTGTCATATTTCTGAGAGAAATGTACATTGAGTCTTCCTTCTCTGGGACTATATGGAGATCAGGTAGAATAAAATGAAGGGAAAAAACTAACCCCTGTATTTTCTATCTTGTGCAAACTTTAAAATATATAATGTGCGGGAACAGAAGAAATTTCAATATGAAAAATTAGCCACTGAAAATTTTATACCTTCCTTAAGGCTGGGAGATGAAACCAAATACAATAAATGCTGTCATTTTAAAAGTTAGGATGTTTACTGCAGACTTATAATTTTCCACCATTAGGGATGCCAAGGAAAATAAGGATGATGATAAAAAGAAAAGTTTAATTGTACATTTCAATCAGCACAGATGCAATATCAAAACCATTCAGCAATTTTTTTGATATTATATATCTGTTTTTTGTTTCTGACATGCAGATTTTTTTCCAAGAGTATTAACATAGAACAGGTAAATGACAGTTAACAAATGTGAATAACATGGCACAATTACACCGAGACTCTCAATGATCTGGTCCCAAGGAAAAAAAATTTTCACGCTTCTCATTTCTGTTTTTATTAATTCTTTATAAAAGACTGTTTTGGTTTATGTGAAACCATGATAAAAGTTAAATTACACAAAATTCCCACAGAATTTAAAGAAATAACTTCCTTTTTTGCAATTCATGTTTAATCAGGAACTGTACAACTTCATCTGCCATATTTTGGTTTGTTCCCAGGAGTTAACAGTTCCTCATTTACCACAGAAAACACAGATGCCAGAGGGTAGCGCAGCTGCTCCCAGCAAGCAATGTGGCTGCCTAGTCTCCAACTGGGTGGGGATGCTGAAGAGAGGAAGCAAGCTTTTCTGCTCCTTTCTACTGCTTCTGATAGGACAGGGAATGGATAGGATGGTGGCCCTGGCAAGTGGACCAGGGGAAAGGAGGGAAATGTTGGAAAAAGTTCTGTATGAGGAGAAACACATGGCAGGAAGATGGGAAAAAGGCATGGAAATGACCCATATTCAGATATAGTACATGAGGGAAGAAGAGAGGGAAAAAGGCAGTTCAGCAGGTCAATTAGATCTTTGATTAGCTATAAAAGAAACAGGTATCTGTAAAATACATGCAGATGCAGTCAACAAGTGTTGGAAAGTAAAGCTGGTAGGACAGTGGGAGGAGAAGATCAACTGTCCTTTTAATTTTGTCTCCTTTGTCTCAAACCTGGATTATAAAGGTATCAAATAAACACTGACCAAACACAGTGGGGTGGGGAGACATTGCTTTTAGGATACGGGTGTTGAGGGTAGCAAATCCATGCCAAATTAAAATTTCAAAATCGTGTGATCTACATTCTTGTCCACCTACATGCTATCCTAAACATCCTGCCATTTATTAGCTAAATGGTCCATCTAGTAAACAAGACAAAGTGTTGAGGGGGCTGGAAAAGAGCAGGAGTCAGCCAGTAGAGAGTCACAATAAGCCATTCCACTCCCTAGGACATGGAGAAGGTAAACTTTTATTTTGTTCAAGAGATCACCTCAGTATAACACTGCCTTTCCAGTCATCGCAGGCACAGTCACATCAACAGGCTAGAAAAGCCATCCCATTTCTGCGGTAGGCACTCTGTCAAAGAAAAAGAAATCTGCAATGAATTATCACATCAAGTCAAACAAGGAAAGAAGGCAAGAAGCAAGCAGAGCTTTCTTTCTGTTTTGTAGACTGCTGGCTATAATCTAGTAGGGTGCTTAATCTGAATATTTCTGGTAGCAAAGCTATAGCAACCATTCTATTACCAAAATCAGTGTGGTTAACAAGTGGTTAGTGGTGCTATTTTCGGAAAGTGGGAGACAGGCAAAGAAAGACATCCCCTTTTGTTAATTGATTGGGTTTGGTTAAACCAAAGAGATGTTGTGCTGAATCTGCTTCTTTCATAAACATATGTTATCTATTCAACATGCTCCAGAATCACTTATAACTATCTTAATAGCTTATAAATTACTGACTCATTTCATTATAGCCTTTCTAACCCTAATTTATAGTCTGAGTGAACAGATACCAACAGAGGGCTTACCTCTTCACTAAAATATGATCTTAGAATTCTGCACATAATAAAGAGTATGAAAAACTTGAACCCTTACATACTTTCATATACATACATATACTTACTGGTATAGTAATGTATATACATGGTATGATAAAATATTGCCATAAAAGAAAACAGGAAAATGGATAGGAATTGCAATAGTAAATGAATCAATGAAAAAAGCAAAACTACATGATTTTCATGTCAATAGTTTTTTTTTTTCTTTTCATTTCAGAACTGGAAAACACAGAGCCTCTTGTAAATTGTCCTGAATCTTATTTTATTCTAAAGTGGAAGAGAACTAAAATCCAGAACTTAGAAATAATACCCCCCTTTAAAAAATTAACTAACTAATTCTAATTAGGTATATATGACAAAATGCACTTTGATTCATTGTACGTGTATGGAGCACAACTTTTCATTTCTCTGGTTGTACATGATGTAGCATTGCACCATATGTGAAATCATACATGTACCTAGGGTAATAAAATCTATCATTCCACCATCTTTCCTGTCCCCAAGACCCTCCCTTGTCCCCTCCCTCTTCTTTGCCCAAAGTTCCTCCATTCTTCTCATTCACCGGCCTCCTCCAACCCCCTGCCATTATGGATCAGCATCTACTTATTAAAACATTCAGCCTTTGGGTTTTTGGGATTGGCTAACTTCACTAAGCATTATATTCTCCAACTCTGTCCATTTCCCTGCAAATGCCATAATTTTATTCTCTTTTAATGCTGAGTAATATTCCATTGTGTATATATACCATAGTTTCTTTATCCATTCATCTACTGAAGAGCATCTAGGTTGGTTCCACAGTTTAGCTATTGTGAATTGAGCTGTTATAACCACTGATGTGGCTGCATCACTATAGTATGCTGATTTTAGGTCCTTTGTGTATAGACCAAGGAGTGGGATAATTGGGTCAAAAGGTGGTTCCATTCCAAGTTTTCTAAGTAATCTCCATATTGCTTTCCAGCATAGTTGCACCAATTTTTAGTGCCATCAGCAATGTATGAGTGTACCTTTTCCCCTACATCATTGCCAACACTTATTATTGCTTGTATTTTTGATAATTGTCATTGTGACTGGAGTGAGATAAAATCTTAGAGTAGTTTTGATTTGCATTTTTCTAATTACTAGAGATGTTTAATATTTTTTCATGTATTTGTTGATTAATTGTATATCTTATTCTGAAAAGTGTTTGTTCAGTTCCTTAGGCCACTTATTGAATGGGTTGTTAATTTTTTTGGTGTTAAGTTTTTTGAGTTCTTTATATGTCCTGGAAATTAATGCTCTATCTGATGTGCGTGTAGTAAAGATGTTCTCTCACTTTGTGGGCTCTGTCTTCACATTAATGATTGCTTCCCTTGCTGAGAAGAAGCTTTTAGTTTGAATCCATCCCATTTATTAATTCTTGATTTTATTTCTTGTGCTTTAGGAGTCTGGTTAAGGAAGTCAGGACTTAAACTGACATGATGAAGATTTGGGCCTACTTTTTCTTCTATTAGGTGCAGAGTCTCAGGTCTAATTCTTAGGTCCTTGATCCACTTTGAGTTGAGTACTGTGCATGGTGAGAGAAACTATCACTATTTGTCAATGACATTATTCTGTACTTAGAGGAGCAAAAAAAAAAAAAAAACTCCAATAGAAAACTTCTAGAATTAGTAAATGAATACAGCAAAGTAGCAGGATACAAAATAAATATCCATAAATCAAATGTATTTTTATATATCAGTGATTAAACCCTCTGAAAAACAAGTTAGGAAACTACCCCATTCATAATAGCCTCAAAAAAAAAAACATCTTGGGAATAAATCTAACAAAAGAGGTGAAAAACCTATACAGTGAAAACTACAGAACATTGAAGAAACAAATTGAAGAAGATCTTAGAAGATGGAAAGATTTCTAATGTTCTTGGATAGGAAGAATTAATATTGTCAAAATGGCCATACTACCAAAAACATTATACAGATTTAATGCAATTCCAATTAAAACCCCAACAACACTCCTCATAGAAATAGAAACAGCAATCATGGAATTCATTTGGAAAAATAAGAGACCCAGAATAGCCAAAGCAACCCTTAGCAAGAAGAGTAAAGCAGGAGGCATCACAATATCAGACATAGTAACAAAAATGACATAGTATTGGCACCAAATAGACATGTAGACCAATGGTACAGAATAGAAGACAAAGAGACAAGCCCACATAAATACAGTTATCTCATACTAGACAAAGGCTCAGAAAACATACATTGGCAAAAAGATAGCCTTTTCAACAAATGGTGCTGGGAAAACTGGAAATCCATATGAAGCAAAATTAAATTAACCACACCCCCTTTCACTGGCATAATTTGCATTATTTGAACTATAACAGTCACATTCAGAGAATACACAACCCTCATTTTTTTCTACCATCTGTTTTCAGAAAAATGGAGAAAAATGATAAAATCTCATATTAGGGATTTCTGCCCCTGAAGCTAACAACTCTTGGGCTATTTGTGAAGCTGTACTCTTTCAGCCCAATGAATTTGTCATCAGCAGCCTAATTCTGAGAAACAGAAGAGGCAGGCTACTAGAGGTGCTCTGTTCATGGCTCTGGCCTAGGGACAAATCACAACAACAAAGCAAAAACTTTTTTTTGAGGACAGTAATTGAGGGAGAACTCTGAAAATCAGTAAGGAAATAATGGGAACCCTAAACAGCATAGAAGGTTTAGAGGGCAACCTAGAGGAAAGAACAAGCAAACAGTCACTTTAGCCCCAGCTTTTTAGTAGCCAGAGTAGAGGGGCTGGTGTATTTCTTTCTGGGAGAAGGCAAGCAGGAGAGTGCCAGCAGCCCCAATTATAGCAGCAGAACGGCAGTCCCAACAGTAAGAGAGGTGCACATCTTTAAGGCCTTTAAGTACAGTCCAGGGAGCTGGCTGGGATAAGAGTGATTGTTCTTCTCCAACGAAGGAACTCACTTGGGGCCTCCAACTCCTAGAACCCAAGCTGCCATAATACTGCTGGATATCATCTTGCCTTAGGGAGTGCAGCCACCTGCCCAACAGAGCCAACAGTCTCTGCCTGGTAACTGCTTCACTGGGCAGAAGACAGCCCTCTCAGTGTCCTGCAGCTTCAGGATCAGTGACTGCTGCAGCCACAAACTTGAGTCCCATCTGTTCTTGCTTCATGGGAATAAACTAGTAAAATATCCTCTTCAGCCCAAAGCCTTGAGACTATAGCTACTGGGACAAAGTCCCGGCTTTACCTGCACTTGTTCACTGGGAGCTGGGGAGATCCCAGCAGCCCCAAACCCTAGTACCACCTGTGTACCTTGAGTATACCTGTCAGGAACTCAGAAAGGTTTCCCACTACCTTGGGCCTGCAGATGCTGGTACAAACTAACCTGGTATCACTTCCACGCTTGTTTCTGGTAACGAAGGAAAGGTTCCATCCATGTTCTGCAGCTCCAGGACTGTGGTTACCAATCCCACAAACGTTGTCCCCACCAAAGCTTGCCCCACATGACCTAGGAATTCCTATCCACCTCCTGAAGCTCTAGGACCACAAATACCAATGCCCAAAGTCCCAAAATTACCTGTACTCATTCTGTGGAACTCAGGAAAGGTCTCCTTCATATCCCACATCTCCAGTATGTGAATAACAGTACCACAGGTCCAAATGTTACCTGCACATACCCTGAGGGTCCCAGGGAAGGTTTTTCACAGCCCATGGACTTGGAACCATAGCTGCTGATGCCAAAATCCCTGGGACTGCTTGTTCTTGTCCCTTGGGACCTGAAGAAGTAATCTGGGTCCTATAGCTCAATGAAAGTGGATAACAGCACTATTGATCTCAGCACCAATTGTCCCCTAGGACTTACAGAATGTCCCCTTTATGTTCCACAACCTCAAGTTTACAAATCCTGGTGTCACAGACTGCAGCATCACCTGTGCTCATCCCTGTAGTATGCGAGGAAGGTCTCATCTCATCCTGGGGCTCCAGAACTATGGCTACTGGTGCTATAGGCCCAGACATCTCCCCAAACCATCCTGAGAGTTCTGGGGAAGGTATCTTTTACATTCTATGGGGTCACATCCACAGTTGCTGACTGAAGGTTGTGGAGCTTCCAAAACAGAGTAGAACAAATAGAAGAGTATCTGTGCTTGAGGACAGGTCTTTTGAATTAATCCAGACCAAAAGAAAAGAATGAAGAAAGCGTACACAATGTCAAGACTTATGGGACATAACATGAGTTCCATAATATTTGTTAAGTGAACAAATATTTTCATTATGGGAATTCCAGAAGGTGAAAAAAAGGGGAAGGGCATTGAAAACCTATGTCGTGAAATAAGAGATCAATAACTTCCCAAATCTTAAAAGAAAGAGATATGGACTTCCAGGTGCAAGAAGCTCAAAGGGCTGCAACTGGATTCAGTCAAAATAGACCTTCACCAAGGAATGCTCTAGTCAAAATAATTAGACAAAGAATCCTAAAAATAACAAGAGAAATAGCATCAAGTCACATTTAAGGGAATGCCCATTGGATTTAGGGCAGATTTCTCAGAAGAAATTTTA